CTCTTAGTGGTTGCTTGCTTGCAACAATTCAAGACATAAGCTGAAAATTTGGGCACACAGTAAAAACATTCACCGGTTAAGTATTTTATTTTTAATTTACAATTAGGAATCCTAGGAGTCAGAACAAGTGATTGATGCATTCAAGTTTGCAGAGTCTGTGAGGTTTACTATAGCAACTTAAGGGGCTAAGGGCAGCCGCTGGCTATTCTCTTGGAGAAGTCATGGAGTCCAGGCAACTGGAGAAGAGCACAGATCATCCTGACCTTTAAAAAGGGGAGAAAAGCAGAGCCAGGCAATTATGGACTAGGTATGTTAACCTCAAATACACAGAAAGATATATATATATATAAATATATATATATCTCACGTAATACATTTCTAAGCAGCTAGAGGATTACAAGGCCTTAAGAAACCAACTAAGATTTGTCAAGAATAAACAAATCATGTCAAACCAGTCTAATTTATTTCTGTGACAGGATAATCTAAAAACTAGGAGATGTGATTTATTTTGTCTTTAGTAAGAATTCTGGTGCTGTCCCACATGACATTCTTAGGAGCTAACTGGGAAAATAAAGGTTATTATGAAATCACTGTAATGTGAAAGCAGAGTGAGCTGACAAAGCTTGTGTACTGAGGACTCTTCATTTATCAGAAGTTCTCTGTCCACCTGAAAAGCATAACAAAGAAGCCACGAGAAGGCTGTCTTTCATGTTTCGTGCTGTTCACCGTTTGCATCAGTAACCAGTATGATGAGGATGTGCATGTTTATACATGTGAAAGAATCAAGGCTGAGAGAAATATTTCTAGGATAAATATTTTTAGATTACAAAAATAAAATTCATTAAGAAATGCACAAAGAATTGGATTGAGAAATGGAAAAGAACTGAGTGCACACATACAAATGGGAAATTACTGACCAAGCAGTGATATCGTGGAAAGGATCTGAGGGATTATAGCGGCTCAATAAATGAAGGGCAGTCAATAGTATGGATATTTGTCTGAATTCACAGGGGTGGCATATGTGAGACAGCAGAAGTAATTGCCTAATTCCACTTTGTTCTGCTTAAGGTATTACAACCTTAAGAAGGAATGCAAAGTAGGAAAAAGTCACTTAGACATTACTAAAAAAAGTTGTACCCAAATTTGTGGAACTATCAGCAAATCATCCCTCCAGATTTGAGCTGAGATGTGGTGGTGGACTCCAGGTCATTTGTTTGTTCTGTTGCTGTTCGTGTGAACATATCTTACTGCTGTTCCAGAATTAGCTGGAATATTAATGCTATTTTACAACAAACACAACAGTTATAAAAGCATTAATATCCACTGTGCCCTTTGAGAAATAAAACACACACAATGTACCAGTAAGGCTAAAAGGATAGACACAAATCAGTGCAACAGAGCTGCTGAAGTGAAACCTATTCACAATATAAATAGTTTACATATTGCATAGATTAGACCCACAGAGCTGCTTCCCTGTCCTTCAACTACAGCAGTGAAACCCACTCAGTAGAAGTTGAAATGACATTGTATGTACCCATTGCAGCATGAGGGGTACTGGCGTCAGGAAGTGGATTTCAGTTTCACTGTTGTCATTTAAAGTTAAGTCCAATTTCTGTCTGTATACTTTTGGGAAGCTCTTTTCTGTGATTCCCATTTCTATTAAAGATACCAAGAAAAAATGCAAAAAAAACAAAACAAAAAACAACCAAAAATGTATGCTATATCCATGTCCATAAAGTTTATCAACTTACAGACTCCAGGACAGGTATATCATTCATTGTTTTGCAGCAGTAAGCACAGCGATATACAAAAGCATGCAAAATCAGTTATGGTACAGAAAGATCCTGTAACTTCATTCCTCAAGTAACTGGTGAACATTTAAACCACTCCTATTATTCTGGGAAGATAATTCCTGAGATGCAAAGTTGAGTTGTATGTTGGCATTTTCAAAGACACCAGAAGTCAGTGAAGAGTACAGAAATAAATTGGTAGGGATATAACGAAACAGGAGCAAATTATTATCTAATACAGATACTCAGAGGCAAGAAATGATCGTGGGGTTAAATTACAGTAAGCGGTGGGCTTTTTTATTTTGTTGAAAAGTACATCTGTTACTGGATTCAACATAGTAATAAGATGAAAAGAGGTCCACTGGCAAGGGAGGAAAAAAAGTAAAAGTTTGGAAATACTTGACACAACTAAAATAAATGACAGCTTTTTCACCATCCCATAGGCAGGCTGTAGTAGACGATGTTTTCCTGTATCCATGGAGAAAGTAAAGTCTTTGACTGATGTAAGTCAGTTTAGCACAAATGCTGGTCTGTCTAGTTAAAACCTGCACTGATTGTTTCTTTTAATAGATAATATAGATAATATCTAGCTTTCACTCCAACCCATGCTTTAACACTCAGAATTTATCCATATTTAATTACAATTTTATCACACTTCTCTAATCAAATAAATTTACTTGGTCCTCCAAGCAATCACCTCAGTATTCCAGTATGTAAAAAATACTTTCATTATGTTTATTATAAAAATATAAATGTTTCCACTACAAATCATTTTACATTAGTAAGAGGCCATCTACAATTGCACAATATATAATCTAAATGAGTAAGTAATGCTTTGAAATACAAGTTAAAGTAAATACATATTGCCAATCAAATCACATCTATACATTGCTTATTGAATGCTAACAGCACAAAACTAGATATGTTAACAGAAATAAATAAAATGGAAACTATATGTAAAGATACAAACCCAATAATATGGCATGTCATTTTATGAGTAGTTGCATTTTGCTTGATGTCGATAACCGATGCCAGTCCTGTACAGAAGATGGCCACACAAATTCTAGTATCTCTACTCCACAATGAAGAATTGTACACTGCTATGTATACATATGTACACGGGGACAGGGAGTATAGGATGCTTGCAACAGAGGCCACTTACAGTACAAATCAACTTTTGCCAGGGAGAGAAAACTAAACGTATTTTAAAACTGTCTACTCCTAATAGAAAAGAAAAGCAAAAAAAAAAAAGAAGTTTATTTTTTCTCAAGCATCAATGAGATTTAATCTTTTATGCTGAGCATGCTCAAACAGCGGGCAAGGAACGTGACATGATACTAAGAGAAAACTGAGGGTGGTTGGTGCAAGTTTTCAATCATCATCTAAAACTCTGAGAACTGGATTTTAGAAGCATTTCACAGATGTCTTCCCCCCTGACCCCAGCCCCCTCACCTCCAGTCTCCAGCAGCAGAATGAAACTGAAGAAAAACATCATGAGGAATGTGTTATAAAAAGCTGTCCCCACACAGACAACGTCTGCAAATGGATTTTGGTGACTCAAATTCACTAACAATTTAGAGCAATCTCAAACTGAAGAAAAGAAAGATTCTGCATGAACTAAGCAACAGAAAATACAGGTTTTCTATTCAGCATGCTGCATTTCACAATAGGTTGTGGCAGATAAGAAGTGTTCTTTACATCTTAAGTGCTTTATTTTCATTTTCTTTGATTGTTCATTTTTTTTATTTCAACTTACTTTAAAACCCATTCATTTTTCTTTCAGAAAATATTACTAATTATTACCCTGTAAGCGTGTTTCAAATCCAGTCCTTTACAGCATGCTCACTGCCAGCACTCATTAAAAAGTCTCTAATTCTGCTTCTATTTAGCACTGTGGAATGAGCATTGTGTGTCTCTATGTTTTATAAGTCCTGGACCCATAAAGAACAATTTAAAAGCTGATTCAGGAGGTATTTAAAAGACAGGTAGACGAGGTGCTCAGAGATATGGTTTAGTAGTGGACAGGTACAGTTGGACTCAATGATCTCAAAGGTCTTTTCCAACCAAATGATTCTATGAAATCCAAGGAACTGATTCCTCCCTTACTTATGTGCCCTGTGCTACAAGGAGCTTCAAAACCCAAACCAACACAAGCAAGCAAGCACAACTCGTTACCTGCTTTTGCAGACACAGTGAAAGGTAGTGTGCCATATAGTCATCTGCCTCCCACACAGTCTTGGGCTTAAAGGGAATCACTGTTATTCATCAGAATCAGGTTTAAATTCCATCACGGCAAGTTGGGAATCAGAGTGGTTTCCATTAGCGCCCAAAGCCTGATGTCTGCATGTCTGGCAGCACTTTTAGCGTGTTAAGAAGCTGCCCTGTACGTAGCACAAGCAGTGCCTCACATTGCAATTTATATCACTTATTTTCAGAGTGAAGTCGTGTCTGCTCAGAACCTGCATGGATGTGCTCCAGGGCAAGAGCTTAAGGGTTTGCTATGGGGATGCTGAAGATAGGGAGAGCTCTCAACTCCCACCTTCCAGGCTCCTTTTCCTACTGGGAAATGTGAATGCTCTCCTAAAGATAGGCTCCTTTCTGCTTTCTTTCAAGGAACACGTGCTCTCAAATCCCACCTTCCAGGCTCCTTTTCCTACTGCAAAACGTTAATATTCTCCTAAAGACACACTCCCTTCTGCTTTCTTTCAAAGAACAGGTATGTAAGGAACTGTGAGAAAAACTCAAGTTCCTTATGGGACGGCAACACTTGGACAGATGTCTTCTAGCTCAGACGTAGGTAAAATTAGATATCAAAGTCCCATTTCACAGCTTAAGTCATCCTTTTAAACTATCTACTTATCCTTGGCTGCAAGTCACCATCTCAACATAACCATCAATGGCTGCCCACATGGTAGCACACCTCCCAGTTCCCAGTGTTGGGAACAAAGCCTGCCATAGGGAAGCCAGAAATGGACCACTCCCCAGTGAACTCAAAAACCATCCTCAGTTGATGCAGGATGCAACCCTGACTCTTTTTTACGTTTGCTAGGCACATCTCCCACCTGAACACCACCTAAGAACAGGGGTCTACCCTTTGACAGGCAAGCAAGCCTTTGGGAAGTAAATGAGATGGCCTTGACCAGGGCAGATACCAATCTAGAGATCCATAAGCACAGAACTCTGCCAAAACTCAAGCCTGGGTTAAAATACCACTCACAGCAAATGGAAGGAATCTCAACAAGTCCAGGTGCTTTGTCTAGTGTCAGAGCTGGAAAAAAGACCATCTTTCTTTCCTTCTGTATTTCATATATGATATTATGAGTATAAGATAATCTAGTAATTAACCCTCAGACAATTTCTCAGTGAATTCTCAATGAAGCTTTGATAACGTTTGGCACTTGGCAATAATACAGCCAGGTTAAGGTATTAAAGCATAAATATAAACAATAATGGAAAAAAAACCCAAAGGAAATAAATAAGTCTTTTAAAAATTAAGACTTGTTTCTATTTAAATGAACACAATTAGGGAAGCTAACATAATGGTAAAAATCTTTTGTCAACTAGCTCAAAGTCACTACAAACTTTATTTCTGTGTTCCTTTCTGAAGTTGAAATAGCATGTTACAATGACATTATAGTAAATATGGCCAGACAGGTTGTGAGGTATAGTCCTCTATTTTCCTTGCTTTTAAAGAAATAAAATACCTGTTACAGATCTCTTCTGTATAAAAATACTGCAAGTCTTTTTTTTTTCTTCTTGTTTGCTGTATAGATCAAATACACAGCTTTTACGTCCATGGGTTTTTCGTGTTATTCAGTCACTTAATATTCAAATGGCTCTAGGTTTTAGTATCACTGCTTTTTACTTGGAAGGATTTTTTACATTTTTTTTTCTTTTGAAATTTATTATCTGCATTAACAGTCAGTCAAGAGCACCCACCCTTTAGGATTAACAGATAGAAAACAAGTTCGCTCCTATTTTTAAGGCATTTATACTCAATACTTGAGTGTCTTAGTGGGTTTGAAATTTCAACCATTATGTTTCCAAAGCTGTTGCAAAGAACTCCTGTAAATTCTGCTGTTTATCAGCCATCACTTTTGCTCTGTGACGCAACTTTTCTCTTTTTTTCCTCTCCTGAGCAACATCATTTTGGTACCTTACACAGGAACAGGGCTGCTCTTTGTATGAGTTTCTAGAGCTTTCATACTGCTAACGATCTTCTTTTGAGTTCCCACAACTGTAACGCCGACTTTCTTCATGTCACTGGAAAAAAGAGAAGACGCATGGGGTGAGGGAGCATATTGTCTCTGCATTTCCTAGCGCTGATGTGGGCAAACAGCAATCAACTCACTCATCTTGTATTACTACGTTGGAGGAGCCTCCCAATATGGCAATACTGCTGAAACACAAGCCCTGGTATGAGAAATACTGAAGGTCATTGTATGAAAACAGCAGGAGGCCAAAAAAAAAGAGTAAAAAGTCATTTAGCCTTGTTGTGTTTGCTTACCTGGAAGAAAAGAAAATGAAAGTGTTCTCCAGTGATACACACACTGGGATTTAGGGGCAAGGAGGTGACTTCTGGGCCAGTTGTGATCTTGAGCCTCTCTACTCTCTCCATCCCCCTAGCCTGATCGCTGTTTCTAAGCAGTGCTGACACCTCATTGTTATGTGCTGAGCCCTCTGAACCACTGTCTTAACTCTGGTATCAGCATTGAGATTAACAGCTACGTGGCCAAGCTTCCATTGCCTACCCCATTTTTCACCTCTCATTTCTCCAGGCCATCCAGTCTCATTGTTCCTTGTGCACACAGAAGTGGTTTAACACTTACAAAGGGCTAATTAACCAGTGGCTCACAGGAAATTGGGCATTCCTAGAGGATTTCTGCACTGTCCCCAAAGGGTAATTGTTACAAAAAGCCATTAGCAGTCTTTTTATAGTTGCAATAATACACTAATTAACAGCATTGATGTGTTTAATTGTCGACACCGCAGCTGCTGCTTACTTCTTCATAACTTGTCGTGTACGCAGCTAGCCCAACAAAGAGCCAAGATTTTCTTTGGCAGTTATTTCACAACTGTACTTGATGCCTTTTCAGGTGTAGAGACAACATTAGCCTACTCGTCCTTATCACAAGAACAAAGATAGATCACATTTAAATGTAATAAATTCACAAGTTATAAACTTCCAAGTTTAGCGTGTTTAAATGTCAAGACTGGAGGCAGGAGGAAGTTCAGCCCCTGGATAATTATTAGCTTGTAGGAGGAAAGCAGCTACAAAGAACTTGCTCTGTCTCACCTGGTTTGATAGAACATGAGGTGGGCAATAAAGGAAAAGATTGGCACACGTGCCAGCTGTGGGGAAACTGCCATATAAAAGGAAGGATATAAAGAATGAACACAGAAACTCCTAAACTGTGAGCGAAAGAAAGTGAGGCTGGTGTGCCAGATGATGCACGGTGCTACTGCATCAGAAGAAACTGGGAATTTCCTTGGCATCAGTGAGAAAAAGGTATGGGACTGTGACCTCCAGACAATCACAAGAGCATCTAGGTTTCCTGGAATAATTTACATTAAGAATATTTTAGCTAAAAACTGGAAACTCCACATAAAAACACGACTCTCATGCTTATGTTCAAACTTGTACCTCTAGCCATAACCAATGATGAAGAGCTGTAGTAAATTCAAACTTACTCTGTAGAAATCTTGGCTATTGTATCACAGGAACTGTACTCCACACCTGTGAAAATGTCTTTGCACTGTCCTGTCCGAAAACCATTGAGCCAATCACCTGTCGTGCGGAAGGCTGAAATGTCAATGTTACTTTGGTCCAGGAGAAGATTTGATGGCCTGAAATAAAAAAAAAAAAAGAATATTATGAAAGTCAGGGAGTAGGGATATGTGTGGATTTATTTTGTATCTAAATAGCACTGGCATCAGCAGGAGTTTCCAGGCTAGACGTGGCTTCTCTGTCTGTCTGTGAAAGTTATCTGCTGCTGAGGCCACCACATGTACTCATGCTGGCACCTCTGATGAACGCTGCATAATCATTTTAAGCCTAAGAACTCCAGCTTCTCATGCCCACATTTAAAGCACTGAAGCACCACCAATTCGTGAAGTGTATTGTTACAATTTAATGTGTGAAGCATCATCAAAAACCAGCCTCATTTAGACTATATTTATGTGATTCACCTAGTCCCAAACAACACACATGCTCTACAGTCCAAGTTGAGCACGTTGATGCACACTCCAGACTCCATGTTGAGCATGTTGGTAGAATTTACATGTATCAAATGTTCAGAGTATTGCAGCCCACTGACAAATCCTAAATGCTGCTAGTAAGTTAAAAGCACAAATAACAAGATACTAGTGGCTTTAAGAAATTGTATCATCTAAAATTCAAATGTTAAGTGAATTTGTGAGACAAATGTAACTGCAAGAGACTTGCATTCTGCAGTGTGCAGAAGCAGAAATGAGGAAATTTGTTATTCAATACGCTTAGTCAAATTTAAAATGCAATTGCCTTGTCCAGTTTAAAATTGATGTTCACTCTTAAGACTGAAACTTCCATAAGGATCTCATACAAATAATTTAGAAATAAGAACTAAGTCATCTCCTGCCTTTGGTGATCATGAAGGATGCTGAACTGACATGACTTGCATCCAAGTTCTCTACTTAAACAACAACGAAGAAACCAGTAAGACACAAACAAAACAACTCAATGAATCAAACAAAACATAAGTCCATGCTTCTCTGACCTTTTTCCATCTGCATGTCTACCCAGAAGCTTTTGAGAAAAAAAATCCTTCTGAAAATAAGGATTAAATATATAATTTTTTATCAAGAAGGAATATATTGCAGCTGATCCTGCACTTTGCATCTTGCAAATGGCTGAAGTGGCTGCTCCCATATTGATCCAGAAATTTAGTTCTGCCTGGTAAGAGGACTCTTGTTTTCACAGTCTTGTGAGCATACTGTGACTTATTTGTGGGTATTGAGGCTAAAAATGAACGTCATCCCTTCCCCATAAAGTCACTACATTCAGGCTCTACAACATCTCATTTTAGCCACCTAAAAATACTAGAAATAGGCCCAGCTAGTTTTCTAAACTATTGTTGCAGTCCATGGAGAGACACACACGTTTCCAGGCAAGAAAGGTTGTCCTCTCTGAAACAGGTCTTCTTCTCAGAGAGGTGAACTTGCTCCCAGCTGTCCCTCCTCACTGACCTGCTGTCTTTTCTAAGGGGCATGAGAAGCCCCTGAACAGCAATACGATCAGTAATTCATTTCTACTGGCAAGACATCTTACTAATTCTAATTACCTTTCTTGGTGCTAATTAGCATGATAATGACTTCCTCGATTAGTCAGATGTTATTAGAGATATCAACTCTATTTCTGCATTTTCCCTTCCACTGACAAACATATGCCCATACTGGACAGCTTTTTAGTCCTCATCCAGAAACACCTGTGCTCTATTTCAAGTACCTACCTCAGGCTTTAAGCATGTGCTTGGCTGTGCTACTATGATGGTGCTACTCATGAGCACAGGAGACTGAACTAGAAGATGGAATCATAGAATGGTTTGGGTTGGAAAGGACCTTAAAGATCATCCAGTTCCAACCCCTCTCCCATGAGCAGGGACACCTTCCACTAGACTAGGTTGCTCAAAGCCTCATGCAACCTGGCCTTGAACACTTCCAGGGAGGAGCATCCACAACTTTATTGGGCAACCTGTTCCAGTGTCTGACCACCCACACAGGAAAGAATGTCCAAAGCAGACAGATACTGCAACTTTACAGTCCATTTTCTGCTCCATAATTCTTTTTCCCCATAACTTGAGTGAAACACCACCAGCACAGGAGTCTGACTAACTAGAGTGATCATCTGAAGTGACTTTTGTCACTGGAAAGAAGTGAAACTGAGACGTGGTTAGACTAAAACCGTAATTTAAAGGTAGAGATTACGCAGTGTAACAGGTAGATCACAGGATCTGCATTGTAAAACACCCTCCTCACTCCAAACCCAAGCCATCTCTAAGCATTGAAACAAACATAAAGGGAGAGTTTGTAAAAGCTCCAAAGCAAACAAAGCGTTTAAATACCACTGAATTTTAGCTCATAAGCAGCCCAGAAAATCTAAACAAAACATCTCAATCCCAAATCTTTATTAAGTTTCAGCAAGATCAGTAGCATTACAATAGCATAACTCCTGCAGCACATGTGACTCGCACTGGAATCTGGAGATATCACATCAGTTACACCCAGACTTTTACTTTTGAAGAAATGGAAAATATAGCTTTGCAATACAATAACTCTTAATATTGGTTACCCATTAAACAGCACCTTTCACTTCTGATTTTTTTTTTTTGCCAATTGCTATCAATTAGTTGATATATTTCAGGATCAGAAAATGATTTTAATATCTTCTTCCCTTCTAGGATCATAAGCTACAATTAAAGAGTTTGTTAGATCCTGGAAAAATCTTAATTTCAAAACCACAAATGGACATAACACTTCTGTAGATTAAACATCAATTTTCATACCTTTTGCCTGGCTACCTTCCCTCTGGAGCCCAGCCAGGACAAGGAGCTGCTGCAAATGACTGTAATCACTGTCACCAACTACAGACCTCGCATCCTGGGAAAAGCAGTAGCCAGAAATAAAAGCAACAAGAAGACACCAGAACCCTGCTTTGTCCCCAAAACACTAAAGAAGCAAAGGCACAGCATGGCCGCACCGACACGGGGACTGAGCTGAGGACAGAAGATGCATCACGCCCCAGGTTACTGTTCATGTGCTAACAACAGATCTTTGGCACCTGTGTGATCCACAGCTTTAAACACCCTCCAGTTAAAGGCTCAGGTTAGGTCATCAAGCCCAAAAATATTTTTATTCAGTAGCTGTACAGCTTGCATCTCCCCGACTACTGTTTGTCCCATGAAGAGCCAATGCTTTTTATTTATTGTTTTCTGCGTATAGCGTCTGGAATCCCAAGACATTTATTAAGAGTATTTATGAAGTGATCTTAGTGATAAAGCATGCAGATTATTTTTTTTTTCCAGCCTAGTATGTCTTTTCAACTTTAATCTAATAAAACAAGGCCTGACTCAAGAATCACTAATGAAAAAAAAAAAAAGTATAAACAAGTTGAAATAGAACAGGTCTCTAGGATTAGGAATTAGAGTGGCCCAAAAGAGCTTTTATGTTTATTACTTGGATCAAAGTATCATCAGGACAAAAAATATGACCTAATTTTAATGCAAGTGACCTCAGAATAACCAGCACTGTAAAGTATCATTTTTCTCCTTGTAGGATTCCAAACAAAAATTAGTTACTTTCCTCCTCAGAGAGGACATCTGGACAGTTTATCAAAGAACAGGAATTTGTCTCACTGAGAAGAGTCTGTGATGTCTCCTCACATGCACCGAGGGAAAGCTGGGCTTTCAGAGCATCTGCACACATCGGCAGTTATTTTATTTTATTTTTTTTTTTTTCCCCCTGACCCAGCCCCTAGACAGAAGGTCTGAACATGAAATTTATGGGCTGGGTGATGTGCGCCATGAGCTCACACTTTACTAGACAAATTAGATGGGCTGCAATCCGTGCAGCTGTAAACGACATCCTGCAGAGTTCCACCTGATCTTTTACAGCTTTTCATAAATCAGTACCTACTAGCTTCAGAAGAGACTCATTAAAAAGAAATCATGGAAATTACATGTTTGCTCAGGGGAAGTAAAATAGAACATTTCCCTCTGTCTTTTTCTCTTTTTCTTCTCTCTCTCTTTTTTTTTTTTTTTTTTGGAACTCTTTTTCACTTTGTTGCTTTGACCAACTATGATATACCCTATTGTGTCATCTTTCAACAGTCACGGAAAGACTTTCTATTCTGTCCATCCTGACTGTGTGCGTCATCGACAGTTGTATTTACTGACATGTGGTGCCCTGAAAAAAAATCAGCAAGACTCAGGTTAGAGAGACAAATTTAACAGCGAGGTGCCAGTTACAAAATGTCCTGTTGCTGAAAGCTTTCTCTGGATGTGCCCATTACGTTAACAGTTGGAATTAACCTTTGAGTCACCCCCAGTAGCAGGGAGAACTACAGTTTGTTATCATTAGCACAGCTTTTTGTCACAACACAGGGAAACTTTTGCTGCCCCATATAGGAATGACAAAGACCACAGAAAACATCACTAGAACCCTTCCCAATATGGCATGGAAATCTTGTCTCTGCTCGGCTGCTGCCTGGTGAGAAAGGGATACAAAATCCAGGAACTGAGACAAATAAAAGGAAAATGTCCTGACACCTCTTCTGCATGAAGGCTGGTATTCTGCAAATACACAGAGGAGTTGTGCACACATGACCCTGGACTTCGTGTTGCAACCCTTCCTCCAAACCAAACCAACTAACCTTCAGTTTTTAAATCTGGACTTTCCCCTTCTGCAGTCAAGATTCTTTTAAAGGGGAATGCATTTAAAAAACATAAAGTAATTTCCTGTGGCAAATTTTAGGTAATTGTAAGCTGATTTTATAAAGTGAAATTGCTCCCTAGGAGGGAGACAGGCGTGGTTTGAACACAAATCCTATGTGCTTTATGATTATGGTAACCTGGTGCACAGAATTCAGGTCTAACAAGGATATCTCCTATTTCAAGAAAACAAACAAAAAAAACCCAACAGCTGGCATACAAAGAAATTTTAGTTTTAACTTCTACAGCAAGCAGAATAATCTAAGTATACATGTGTATCAACATGAAACTAGTAAATAAATTACATGCTGAGGAGAATCATAGAATAGTTTGGGTTGGAAAGGACCTTAAAGCTCATCCAGTTCCAACCCCCCTGCCAGCAGC